AGATTATAGCCCTGTCTTGTTCTCGTGGAAAATATCCATGTTAAAGCAATTTACCCAGCAGTGTATACCTTTACAAGGAATGTAAACATGTGGTATCTCATTTAATCTTGAGAAAAACTTGGGAAATATGAATTCTTGCTTCTCAGATGATGAAATGGAAACACAGGTGGGGGAGGGGGGTGGTGCACACCCTGATGAGGAAGGAAATATAAAGTGAAAATGCACAGGAAGAAAACGAAGGCATTGAAGCAGGCTGGTCACTAGCTCCAGTACTCCCGAGCTTTCCTGCCTTGCCCACAGAGTCCGGGGGGCCATGGGTTAGCCTGGGACAGGAACTCCCATTGTAAACAAGAGATGTCTTGAGGGAACAGAGCAGTCTGTGTGTGAATCTGTTCTGTCTAAAAGAGACTATTTCCAGGTCCTTCCATGGACCATCAGAGTAACTCCCCTGGTGAGTGTGCTTTTCCCACAGTCACAGGCACATGGGGAACGAGCACTCACCTCCCTCCAAGTTGCTCAGGGAGCGCATCTAAGCTAAACGTAATCCCAGCTCGCCTCCGACATCCTTGGAATTGAGAGGCTATGGGACCCTCATCCCCACCCTTGGAACAGCCGGCCCTCATCCCTTCTCCTTCCCGCTCTGAATGCCCACCAAGAGCCTTTGTCTAATTACGTTTATCTCCCGCTCCTGCCTGAGATCACTGCCGATAAAGGGCCACTTACATGTTCTTGAGCTCTTCATCTTCTTTCAGTCTGAATCCATTTTAGAAGATGAAAGCGATTGTTTTTCTTTTTTGTTTCGTGGAAGGTAGCAGGATAACACATACCCATCCACAAATAGCGTGTTTAGAGGACCAGGCACACAGACTGTGCTGGGTGTGTCCCAGGGGCACAGGCGGGAAGACCTCCACCTTGGCTGAGCCATCCTTGCTCAGAACCAGGGACACCTTGCTCAGGGAGGCGCCCACGACAGGCTGAGGGCGGAGGGTGTTTCTAGAGTTTCTGTCACTTTACTAAGTGGCATACTCAGGTGAAAGAGAAAAGGCAACTACTTCAGGCCCGCTGCTTTGTGGCAGGACTTCACCCAGAGATCCCCAGAGGGCACCGTTCACGCACCGTTCACATCTCTGGTCCCTGCTAGGGAAAGAGGCTGAGCAGCTGAGGGCATCCTTGAGCTGATCCCGGGAATAGCTATGCAGTCGAGGCGAGAGCTGGCGGGAAATAGGGTGGGATGTGTTGGCCTTGGAGGAGGGACTTTCAGAGTTGTGCCTTATATGCCAGGGGACAAGGTCTCCAAGAAGGAGCATGGCTTATGCTGTAGGAACAGGTCTAGACCTTCAGGAATGGGTGCTGCACAGCCTACAGCAATGCCCGTTTCCCTGCGCAGTTCCTTTCACCTTTCCTTGTGGCCTCCTCTCCAGTGTGTGGTGTGGGAGAGTGGCAGACCAGCGTGGGGGCCCCTTCCATTCTAGAGCAGGGTTTACTCTGACGGCATGGAAGGGCAGATGAACTGACTTCTTTTTTCTCCCCCCCCCCCCAAGAATTTTACAGCCTTGATACCCGGAACAACGGTGGAGATTTTACACGGAGACTCTAAAAATATCATTCAACTGATCATCAATGCGTACAGTGTAAGTCATCAGTTTCTTCCCGATCCCCACCTCCACCCCCACCCTCTTCCCCTGAGGCTCCGGGAGCTGCCTGGACTCAGGTGGGCAGCGCACCACCCCGGGTGCTCGGCTCTGCTTCCTGCCTCTTGCCTTTTGAGTTTGGTGCCTTCCTCCTTTGCTCAGATTCCGGCTTGAAGCCTCCCCTCCCCTCCCCTCTGCCAACCTGACTCTCATCATCAGCTGTGGATGCTCAGTCAGACTCAGCCCTCGGCCCCTGACCATGCAGGTTCTGACTGGGTGGGTACAGGTACTCTCCACCCACCAGTTGCCTAGGCAATCCGGCCACTGTGCTCCCTGTGGGGAGACGGGAGGAGCACACACACAGATGCCACCTCACAGTGGCAGGACAGTTGAAATTCCCCAGGCTCATGGAGCTTAGCTCAGAGCTGCAAACTGAAATGGGGTAGAAGACCCGAGAAGAATCAACAATAGGTCTTTGCCTACACACTTGGGATCTGACTGTAATCGGAGGAGCCTGGGTGGGCCTGGGAGATTCTGTGCTGTTGTAAGCCATCGCATAGCTTGGCTCTGCTATTGCAGCATTTAGAGACGTGGCTTAGGAGTCACTTCCACACCCCAAACTGACTGTCCGTGATTCCCACACCTCTCTCCTCTTTATTCTCCTTTACCTCAATTCTCAATACCCAAGAAGTACTTGCCTCCACCTACCTTAAAAAATTTTTTTAAATATATTTTTATTGATTTCAGAGAGGAAGGAAGAGGGAGATAGGAATAGAAACATCAATGATGAGAGAGAATCATCGATGGGCTGCCTCCTGCATGCCCCCTACTAGGGAGAGAGCCTGCAACCCAGGCATGTGCCTTGACCAGGAATCGAACCATGACCTCCTGGTTCGTAGGTGGATGCTCAACCACTGAACCACACTGACTGGGCAAACCTACTCCTCCCCCCCTCCCGCCAGGAAAGTGGCGGACACAGGTTCTTGTGCTGGGAGGTACTAATATGCTCTCAGCTATCCTCTCCCTGTGAAGTTCCCAGTACCCACCTTGCCCTTCACAGGGCCAGGTAACTCCCAAACAGGATTCAAAGTGTGTCTTCTGTTTAAAACAAAGTTATACATAGAGTAAGTATAGTCTAAGTACCACCATTAGTTCTGGGAGCCCAGTTAGCCACTGTGGCGTCCCATGTATGAGATGAACCATCTTTCCAGCCACGACTGGTTTACAGATGAGCATTTGGAGCTCAGCCTTTCCCAGTGTTGATTTTTCAATCTACTGCTCCAGCCCTTTTCTGAGTGACTAGAGCCATAGGGGGTGCCCTCACCCCTGCTGCTGGAGGAGCCCTGGAGCTTGGGGGCAGGGGGGCGGGGCGGCCCTCCCTTGAGCTCCTGGAGCTTTGGTGTGAGTTGGGGGACAGCGAGGGTTTGTGGCTGGTCCTTCTTCCCTCCCCCACCTTCTGTTACAGCTAAGGGTCCTCTTCTCCACAAATTCTCCAATTCCTCCTCACTCCCTATTGAGAGAAACTGGAGACTTCCTTCTCCTCTGGGACCCCACTCCCCACATACTCACATCCTCTTCTCTGATCTCTGACCTCTAAATTTTCGCTGGATCCATTGGTCACCTCAGAACCAAGATCCCAGTAAGACAGGGTTTCCAGGTTATGCTTGGTGACTTTCAGATTTCAGTGAATGGAAATGTAATGAACTGAGAGAGCATTTGAGAAGAGAGTGTGTGTAGGAGGGAGGGGGCCTGGGCTGCCGAGTGTTGTCCTCTTTTCGAGGCCCCTGCCTCGCTCTGAACCTCTTGGGAACAAGCTGTGGGCACTGAACTGAAGAAGTCAGAGTGAGCCCTGGCCAGCTAGCTCAGAGGGTGGGAGCTGTTAGGTCGGAGAGAGCCCAGGATCGGATACATGCAGACATGTGATGAGACAATGGACTCCCCCTGGAATTTCTCACAGATCTACGTGCCAGACACAGATACCAGCTTCTTCTCCCTGAATCCACATACCCCCACACAGATACTGACTCATTCCTGAATACCTTGCTGACCCCCCTGTAGCTGAAGCTTCCTCAACTGAATACCTCAGCTCATGTCCCCGCCCCTCACCCAACCGCAGTATAAAAAAAGCGCCCCCCTCCATGTTGGTGTGAATCCACGTGCCCTGTCTTTGGGGTACGTGGGTCTCCCGGGGACGCAGAAATAAACTTTCCTTTCCTTTCTTTTCTGATTCACTGGACTCTCTATTTCTTGCACCGCCTCCTGAGCCACCTAACCTAACAGGAGCATCATCCCACGCACCAGAAGGTGGCTGGTTCGATTCCCAGTCAGAGCACATGCCTAGATTGTGGGTTTGGACCCCAGCTGGGGAGCATATGGGAGGCAACTGATGGATGTTTCTCTCTCACATCAATGTTTCTCTCTCTCTGAAATCAATGAGCATGTCCTTGGGTAAGGACAAAAAAGAGAAAGAAGGCAATGCAAGCGCTGGAACCATACCTGGGTTGTCCCCCCCATCCTTCTGGGGTCTGGGTTGGGAGGGGGCTGCTGTTGAACTTGTTCTCTCTGGTGGGGTGGCCACAGCTTGCCTCCTACTGAGACAAGGCCTTTGAGGGAGCAATGGCTAAAGAGCAACCACATCTCAAGCTCTGGGGTGAGGTGAGGATGTTCTCCTGAGCTTCCGGGGAGGAGCCACCTCCCAGCATTTTCGTCCCCAGCTCCCGAGTCAGCCCCTGTGGGCAATGACAGACTCTGGGCCTCCCTGAGGGCATTTCCTGGTGAAGGCGCAGGCTCTCAGCTCCTCCTGCCTTTGATAAAGGAGGGCATAAGGACACCCAGGCCCATAGACCTGGCTGGGAGCTGTTCGCCAGAAATGAAAAACACAGCTCAATCAGCGCTGTGTGGCTAAGGAATACGATCCACAAGGACTAGTCATATTCAGTGGAAAGTTTTAAAGCAGCTTTATTGGGAGACCATGAACACATGATAAACTGTACAGATGTAAAGGGTACGGTTTAAGTTCTGACACACGTACCTGCCTGTGAAACTATCCACACTTGCGGGGGGCTGCTGGAAACCGGGGAGCGTGGCGTTGTTGGAGGTCCCCTGGGTGGGAACCGCACGTGCTGGCAGCGCTCTCTCTCTGAGCCCCGTTGCGTTGGCTCTGAGCAGGATCATGATACACGAATTTGTGTTCTTTACAGAAATCCAGGGACCTGGGGAAGCGTGCTCTGTCTGTGTCGGGGCGGGAGAGGAGTGGGGAGCCCTCCGCTGCTGAGGAGCCAGGACAGGATGAATAGAGAACGACCTTTTCCGGGGGAGCTGCGTGTGGAGCTGGGGTGAACCCCTGAGGAATTGTGGGAACCTCGCTCTGTAATTGGAGTCTGAGCTAAACCGGTTCCTAAAAGAGAACCCGTTAGGGAATGAGACATACAATGGATGAATGAACATTTGAAACTCGACTTTTTTCAAATGGGCAATTCTGGCATACGATCCACAATGACTAGTCAAGTTCAGCGGACAGTTTTAAAGCAGCTCTACTGGGAGACAACACATGATAAACTGTACAGATGTAACATGTATAAGTTGTGACACACGTACGTACCTACCTGCAAATCTATCACCACCGTCACGATATGGAACAGACCCTCACTCTGCATAGGTGGACGTGTGGCCGTTGCCTCCTTCTGCCCCCCTCCCCCCAGTGGAATTTTAAAGTAAGATATTCAGTATAGAGATGTGAAATGGCAGGGAATCTGGGGCAAAGCCCTGGTGGTGGAAGCCGTGTGGGTGTGCTGGTGCTCGATGCTGATTTAGTACCTGTTTCATGTTGCCAGTGTTTCTGGCAAATGGGCAGCCCATGGACTTTTTAGCACTTTTCCTGGGGTTGAGCCTAGCACTGGCCTCTGCTATGGTGTGTGTGTGTGTGTGTGTGTGTGTGTGTGTGTAAAGGCGGGGGTGGTGGTGTGTATGTAGGGTATGTGGTAGGTTGTGTATGATGGGGGTGTGGTTGGAATATATGTATGTGTGTGGTGTGTATGGTGTGTGTGTGTGGTTGCTTGTTGGTATGTATGTGTTGTGTATGTCTGTAGTATGTATGGTGTGTGGTGTGTGTGTGTGGGGGTGTTTGTGTGGTGTGTATGTCTGTAGTATGTGTATGATGTATGTGGTGTATATGTGTGTGGGGTGTTTGTGTGCTATGTGTGTGGTGTGTATATCTGTAGTATGTATGGTGTATGGGGGTATATGTGTATGATGTGTGTGGTGTGTGTGGGGGGTGTTTGTGTGGTGTATATGTCTGTAGTATGTGTATGGTGTATGGGGGGGTGTATGTGTATGGTGTGTGTGGAGGGTGTATGTATTGTGGGTGTGGGTGTGGGTGTGGGTGTGGCTTTGGCCTTGGCCTCACTAGAGGCCCCAGTTAGCCCTGGCTACCCTTTCACCTGCTCTTCTCTCTGGCCAGGGTCCAAGCCCAGCTCTAACCGGACTGTTTGCATTTCTCTGTGTCACCTTTCCGTCTCAGCGGTTTGTGGTGCATTTCAAATGAGTCATACAGCACATGACTAAGTGAGGGTGTTGACTTTTACCCCCGAGAGTTGCTGGCAAACCATCTGTGGGGACATTCTGGAAAGATTTTGGTTGGAACATATGTAACAGATGAAATAGCTGCGGCATTTAGCTAGGCTGCGGAGGGAGCAAAATGGGAAGGGCCTGTTTAATTTAATATCTTTCAGAATCCAGTCTGTCCTATGCAATTTTCATAGTGAGAAATCTTCAGCCCTGGGCTTTGATTTATAAATTTATTCTTGCTGTGCCAAATTCTTCATTGAGAGAGATCCCCGAATCCCCGAAGGGTGTTCAGTGATGTGGAGTTTTGCTGCACAGCTGGTGCTGGTGCTGGTGACAGGGCCCCTTCCAGCGCCCAGAGGGGCCCTGGCTGCACACACAGCACCTGCATCGCGTCGCACTGAGAAAGGGGAGCGAGGACGCAGAGGGCAGTCACTGCGGCCTCTTCTCCGAGTGGGAAAGAGCGGAATGAGCTGGAAGCCACAGCCGTTGCATGCGGAGGGTGACGTCAGAGCCCTGGTGTAAACTGCTCCTCGCCGAGCATGTGTTTCTCTTTTTGCTGTTGCCATAAAGTCTGCTCCCACCCACACCACAGCTGCCTGACTTAAAGCAGTTGCAGATGTGCCCTGGGCTGACCGAGTGCTTAATAGCCTTCAAACTTCTGACATTGTCGACACTGTCTCCTAGTCTGAGGATGAGGCGTGAGGAAGCATCTTCAGGGGCAGAACTGGTAGGGGTTGGTTGAAGGTCAGGAGTCCCACCTAAGTCTTCCTGTGGAAGAACTGCCCTGCCTGTGGCTTTGTCCCTCTACTGTGTCTTGTTTTCTGTTCATTCACGGTATCCATGCATCCATGCATTGAGCAAATACATACTAACAGCTGGCAGGCATCATGCTAGACCTTGGGAATAAAACTGAGCAGAACACAGTCCTGCCCTCTGGGATTTCAGTCTTTTAGGGAAGACTGACCCCTACAAGTAGAATACAACCTGGCCATCCACACTCTTCACAGACAGAGCCAGGTTTACAAGAAAGAAGTCCTGGGTGTGGTGATTACAGAGAGCACCGTGGGGGCCGGAGGGCCTGGCCCCGTCCTGGTCCTGCCCGCCTCTGGCACAGGTGACCCCGGATGAGCCCTTTTCTCTGGCCTCCACTTCCATAGAAAGAGAGGTTCGAACTAAGTCATCTCCGTGATCCCTACCCCTCTCACATCTTGAGAGTTTCCAGTTTTAGAGAGTGTGTAGCAAGCGGGAATAATATAAACTTCAGATCAGAACACAAAACTCTGGGGTCTTACCGCCAGAGGAGACTATAGATTCAGGTTCCATCCGTTATAGTTGCTGATTCATAGACTGGGAGCCCCAGTCCAGTGCTCTTTCTCCACTGACGCGTCCAGGTTCAGGATCTTCACGGGGAGCGCTGGTACTCCCTCACAGCATCCTGTTTGTGAACCATAAGGCCCATATTTCTTTTTTTAAAAAAATATATGTTTTTATTGATTTTTTTTTTTTTTTTTTTTTTAGGGAGAGGGAGAGAGAGCAACATCTTTGTGAGAGAGAAACATTGATCAGTTGCCCTGACCAGGGATCGAACCTATGTACCCTGACAGGGAACTGAACCCGAGACCTTTTGGTGCACAGGGCTATGCTGCAACTAGCTGAGGCACACTGGCCGGGACCACAAGGGCCATATTTAACCTGACTCTCCCCAGGAAACTTCTTACATAGCTCCAGTCCACCTAGCCCTTTCATGACATACTGTTTTGCCTCATCCTCATAGTTAGTCAAATTTTTAAAAAGTATCTAGTCTTTCAAAAATAACTTTAAGTTTCTCCTTAGTGTGGCTGCCGTTAGACTGTCCATCCTTCCATCCATCAACAAAAGCTTGTGCTCAGTCCCAGGGAAAAATATAATATGGCCCTTAGAATTCACAACTCGGTGGGAATAGCTAATCACTTCCAGCAGGAGAGTGTGTGTGTGTGTGTGTGTGTGTGTGTGTGTGTGGTGGGGGGTTGGGAGGGGGGTTGGAGCGGCACTCAAAACCTTCTCCAGTTCAGGCTGGCACTTCCGAGAGGAAGTGGATTTAAGACAGAGTATTTTTAGAGTTTTAGATGCACTTGCACAATTTGTTGCAAAGGAAGAGAGTTTTTTGCAGAGATTATTTTTATCAGCTGTTAATTTGTTAGGAAAACTGCATATTTAACGTATACAAGTTTAATACTACGTGTTCAGCAAAATGAAAAAGAAGAAAGAAGACAGAAAGGAAACAATCTAAATACACCTGAGTATCCAGCACCTGGCTAAAAAAAACCCACCACAGAATATTATTAGCACCCAGAAGTCCCTATCCCCCCCCCCCCGCCATTACTGTCCCCCAAGGGGAACCATTATTTTTGCCTGTTTTGAATTTCATGTAAATAGAATCATGTAGTCTATAGGCCATTTGTGTCTGGCTTCTTTCGGGCATTGTTATCTTTATGAGATTCATCTGTGTCGTGAGATGTAGTCATGTTTCATCCATTCTCAGTGCTGTGTGGTATTGTGTGAACACGCCCCCATTTAAAAGTAAAACCTATTCTGTGGATAGGCATTTGGGTAGCTGTTATGGACAGTGTTGCTATAAACATCCTTGTACCTACCTTCAGGTTAGTGCACATCTCTGTTGCCTATAGTCCTTGGGTGAATTAACAGGTCTAAGGTTGGCCTGAGCTTGAGTAGATGCTGCCGAAAGGTTTTCTCAAAGGCTGTACCAATTGACGCTCCCACCAGCAGGATGCGAGGGCCTCAGTTGCTCTGCACCTTTCTAACACTTGATGTTCTCAGCCTTTTCTTTCTTTCTTTCTTCCTTTCCTTCCTTTTCTTTTCTTTTCTTTTCTTTTCTTTTCTTTTCTTTTCTTTTCTTTTCTTTTCTTTTCTTTTCTTTTCTTTTCTTTTCTTTTCTTTTCTTTTCTTTTCTTTTCTTTTCTTTTCTTTTCCCTTCCTTCCTTCCTTCTTTCCTTCCTTCCTTCCTTCCTTCCTTCCTTCCTTCCTTCCTTCCTTCCTTCCTTCCTTCCTTCCTTTCTTCTATTCTGATGGGAAATCGTGGCTTGATTTTCATTTCACTCACTGTCTTGAGAACACAAGTCACACAAAAGATGTTATTCTCTGATAATGCCGTTCCGCCTTGTGCAGGTGGCTCTCATCTGACGGGGAGGGGTGTGGGCCTGAAGGACAATACGGTTCCAGGGGAAAGTGCCTGCTGAACTGATTTGGAAGGAAGAGAAGGAGCCAGCCAGGGGAAGGGAGGAGAGGAGCCACTGAGCAGAGGAATGTTATTCCATGGGTGAAGGCCCACAGTTTGGAGAGCACAGGGCAACGTGGGAGGGTTTGAGGAGCTGCATGTCTGAAGCTGAGGGTGGGATGAGAGGTGGCTGGAGAGGCAAACAGGCTGGAGCATCATCCCTTGAAGCAGATAATAATATCGTATGGCAGGTGGACCATGTCCAACATCTCCGAGCTCCCAGCGGAGACCTCAGACAGGTTTAGCTAGATCAGTCTGATTGTGTGGAGAGAAAGGGGCACCAAAATGAGCCCACTGGCTCTTACCTGAGTGAGAGGAAGCCATGTGGGCATCAGAGAGCCATTGTGGAAAGCATCCTGGCCATTACTAAGTGGTTTGGGCCTCATCTTCTCTCTCTGTTCAGAGCATCCGGTCTAAGGTGGAGCTGTCAGTCTGGGATCAGCCTGAAGACCTTAACCTCTTCTTCACTGCCACCTGCCAGGATGGCGTGTCCTACCCTGACCAGAGGAAGTGTGAGGGCCTGAAGATCGGGGACACGGTAAGTTCTCTCTCCTCTCCGTTTATGTGGCACAGTTAGCACTGGCCAGCATTCTTTGGCTTCTGGTAACTTTTGTGACTTATCAGATTCTTTCAGGGTTTTGCATTCTGTCTTCCTACTTATCAGCCTGGGGGGCTTTCCTGAGCCTGCCCTGTGTTGTCATCTTCAAGGTTCCAGATGGATTTGTTTAAAAGCCCCGGGCGAGGCCTGGCCAGTGTGGCTCAGCTGGGCATCGTCCTGTGCACCGAAAGGTTGCTGGTTGGATTCCTGGTCAGGTCACATAGCCCGGGTTTCGGGCTCCATCCCTGATATGGGGCATGCAGGAGGCAGCCAGTCAATGTTTTGCTCTCTCATAGATGTTTCTCTCTCCCTTTCCCTTCCTGTCTCTAAAAATAAATAATAATAAAAAAAAAGCCCCAGCCAATAGATGGCCTCAGTACATTGTCCCCTGTCTTCCTCAGGTTGACTTTGTGCCCTCGGTGTTTTACATCCTTATTATTTCCAGCGGGCAGGGATGAAATCAGGTGGGAGAATATGGGCAGGGATCTGAGAGTCCTGGCCTCATTCCTAGTCTTCTACAGCTCACTCTATGCTTTGGATAATCGGATCCTCACTTTTCCCTCCTGTAAAATATGAAGAAATCCACTCACCTCTTCTGTTTGATGAAGTGGGATGGAGAACTTTACAGAACGGAGGGCATGGGTGCCTTGTGTGCACTAAGTGGATGTGACTGCATGATGGGGAAGAAGCGTTGTATGTCAAGATGTGCAGCTGTGGGCCAAACCAAGGACTCGAGGGAGGCTAGATGGGTGATGAGGACACAGACGGGGCACTGGGCTCATGCAGGCAGCGTGGACTCCAGGAAACAGCTCAGAAAGACGTAGGGAGAGGGCATGGCTGGTTACACCGCCGTCTCCTGGGTTTCTCACATTCCATAGTTGGTCCTCTCCTCCCTCCCCTTTCACAACTGCCCTTCATCCACTCCACAGCACCTGGGCTTACCCTCACCCATCCAAACATGACCACGGCGCCTTGCCCCACCGAAAGGACAATTCAAAATAATGGTGTCGATGTTGAGAAGGACTTGAGGGACTGGGTAACAAATCTTTTTCTAAGACGGGTTTTTCCTCAAGCATCTTTGCGGAAGGAAGGAAGGAAGGAAGGAAGGAAGGAAGGAAGGAAGGAAGAAGAAAAAGTGAAAGAGGGCCTTCTCAAGTTGTCAGATATATCATTAAAAATGATTATTTAGCCCTGACTAGTTTGGCTCAGTGGATAGAGCGTCGGCCTGCAGACTGAAGGGTCCCAGGTTCGATTCTGGTCAAGGGCAGTTAAAAAAAAATGATTATTTATGGCATTACCTCAGAGGGCATTCAGGAATAGGATGATGTTGCTGTAACAAAACTTCTATTCCCATCTTCCTATTTATGTGAATAAGTTTTTTTGGAGGGAGTGCTTTAATCTATACCAATAACAAATAAGAATAGAATTAATATGATCCCTGTCTTATTTAGCGAAAAAATGGATTATTATTTCACATATACATGAACTATTGGGGTGGGGAAAGCCTCATAATCAAAGAGGCACTTCCAATAAAATTATTTTTATTTTTTTATTGTTTAAAGTATTACATGTCTCTTTTTTCTTCCATTGACCCCTCCCCAACCACTCCCACCTGCCATAAAATTTTATTTTTAATGCTTGTCAAGTTTAGCAACATATATGGTGTCCCAAAAATGTATACACACACTTTGAATAATTATAAAAGCAGTGCTTATTAAAATACATTTCATTTTCAAAATTGAGCTATCAGCTGTTAAAGTGTGTATAAATTTTTTGAGGATACCTTGTATTTATGTTATTTTGATAAATTAATTAATCCAGATAATTTTAAAAAACACACAAAAGACCACCAACATACACCATACACAAAAATAAACTCAAAATGGATAAAAGACTTAAATGGATGAGAAACAACCATAAAAATACTAGAGGAATCCAAAGGCAACAAAATCTCAGACATATGCCGAAGCAATTTCTTCACCGATACAGTTCCTAGGGCATCGGAAACTAAAGAGAAAATAAACAAATGGGACTACATCAAAATAAAAAGCTTCTGCACAGCAAAAGAAACCATCAACAAAACAACAAGAAAGCCCACTGCATGGGAGAACATATTTGCCAATGATATTTC